AAATTACTCATATATACAAACATATCAAGAAAAATGCTCCACATTATCTAAAATTTCATTCAGTAATGGTTACAGGTAAGAGTTAATTGGAGATTAAGAGTCATATAAGTCCATATCACCATAACTGCTAGATTATATTAATCAAACTGATTAAAATATACAGTGGAATGCACAGATAAGCATTAATTAAAGTTAATTAAGACGTAATTAAGATAATTATCGCTTTAATTAACTGGGTAAATACTGGCGCCATTCATCTGGAACTCCTCTTCTGAGCTTCAGCATTCTCACAGCAGCTGATGTCAGAGGAATGGAGAGTACATCATAATCTTTTGGAGCCTGTGTTAGTGATAAGATATGAATTCTAATTGCCCCTGATAAATGGAAAAAATTACAAAAAAGACCTATAATTGTTTAGAATGCAAGAAATGATAAATTATTTTGGTAGGGGTACCTTTGGAATTTTAATCAGCTTCATGTTTGCTTCCTCAGGGGACTTGTGACCTTTCTTTGAGTTGCATCTTATGCAGGCTGTGACCTTCAAGTTAGAGGAACAAAAATGAAAGAAAATTGTGTAAAACAATTTTTGAAGATTTATAATTTATAATTACATTTGAAAAGCCATGACTCATTTTCAGTGTTTGTTTATCAAAATTTTGTTCATCATCATCTCATAGAACCCAGCCTGATCTGCAGGGGTAGACTCAGGTAGGATCTAGGAAGGGCAATTGATCCGTCTCAAATTCAGATTTTTACTTATATGGGAATGCGGTCTTTTGCCCATCTTGAAATATCAATTTTGCTCCTCGTAAAACATCACTCTGCCTTTCGTTGCTCTAGCTACTCCCACATTGAGTATAGGGGAGAAGTTTGCTCCTCCTAAAAAAAAGAGGTTGGTTCCATCCTGCTGGTCTGCCTTCAACCCGTTAACCCAAACTAGACTTATATAACTAGTTTAACATCAGACATGACAGTTAGATGAATTTAACTCGAAGATTGTTAATCACTCAAAAATTGATTTGAATTTTGGCTCGGATCGAGATCAAATCAAAATGAAAGTGTCGAGCTACGAGCAAATTTTGAATCAAATTGTTTTCAAGTTGAACTGGAACTGTTCCCTGACACCTTGTCTTGATTCTGCTGTAGCATAAACTGCTCATAAAAAATCGCATTTCTGTCGATCACCATCTTCTTTGCAATCGGATCCCAAAACTTAGTATCATTTCACACCTTTCTTGTAGCCCAGAAAGATGCACTTCTTGGATTTTGCATCAAGTTTGGATCTTTCATCTCCAGGTACATGCACATAAGCAGGGCATCCAAAGATCCGTAAATGATCAAATTTAATTGGATTACATGTCCATATCTCTTCCGCGACTTTGTCACTCAATGATGCTCGAGGTGATCTATTGATGAGATAGCATGTCATATTCACAGCCTCTGCCCAGAAACTCTTAGGAAGCCCTGCATTCAGTCTCAAGCACCTTGCCCTTTCAGTTAAGGACCTGTTCATCCTTTCTGCCACACCATTCTGTTGTGGTGTCTTCCGCACTGAAAAATGCCTCTGAATCCCATGCTCCTCACAGAACTTTTGAAACTGCGAATCTGTGTACTCTTCTTTTACTTTGGTGTCAAATGGTTTCATGTTTTTACCAGAGATAACACCAATAGAACTTTGCGGTGGCTCTCTCATATATTCTCTAAGGACACTTGAATCTCTCAATTTTATTGAATTTAAGATTAAACTTATTTGAAAGGGAACTTAATGAAGAAATTTAAAGTTGGAGCATATTCACAAGGTGAACAAGAAAATATTTTAGTTTTTAAAGCGTTTTCATTTTCTTAGTTTGAAGTTTAGAGTTTCATTTTTTTTTTTGTTTTCAAAGAGTTTTAGCTTTAAAGACATTTCAATTTTAATTTGAAATGTTGAACTTTGTTTCAAATTTTATTCTCAAAGAGTTTTAGATTGAAAATTAGATTTTGAATAGTTATTAGTAAATGATAGAACCAAACTTAAATAAAGAAATCAAGAGGCTCTAGACTAAGCTCAGGTGCGTAACCATGCACAAAGAGGACCTAAAGAGAATATCCAGAAATCTATTCATTAAATTAGGTTTTCGTGAGTAGCAGAGAATTGAGGATTGAAGACATGCAAATTTTTAGATTTTAATTTCTTCATGTCGACATTAAACCAAGCACTTTGTGGGAGGCAACCCATAATTGTCTTTGTTATTGCTGCAAATCTACTTTTATAAGTAGTGATATATATATATATATATAATTTCCTGTAGTTTTGCATCCACAAATTATCCAACACAAATCCTTTGAAAAGAGTCAAGGCTAATCCATCTCAGAGGCAAAAATGGTTGACACAATGTCTGCGCAAATTTATGTTCACATGATTGGTGGTGAAGCTCTATAATACCGGATGAAAATTCTGTAGGTAGTCTTTATGTTCAAATGAATCACGTTGAATCTAACTAAGGCCAACAATATTGGACACAGAATTCAATGCAATTTTTTATTGCGTCGGCCACTATCAATGCTAGTTGCATTTGTGATGACTATTTTTGCATGGATCATATGCCTAATGCAAATTCTCCAGTAATATGATTTTACATCAAAATATTGGCAAATTAAAGTTGGAATTGTTTGACGCTAATTCAACAAAATCATGTAATGGTACACTTATTAACAATCTATTGCATTTGTTGTTGTTGCATGCTAGAGAATTTACTACAATAGAGTGATAACATTATAAGAAAATTCAACACACAATAGATGATAGAGAAGAAAGCCTAAAATAGAAAATCATTGGGCATAACCCAATTGAAATTATTTCATTATATAGATATATGTTACAAGACATTGCTTCCCCTTTAACCAAAGAAAATAATATTGCAAGAGTAGGGGTTATTAATTTGACTCACAAAAAGGAAGGGGTAGAACATGCTGAAAGGTGATAGCTACCCGTTTTTGGTAACAAAAGATTGATGACAAGAGTTGTGTGATGAAGATTTGAATTCAATGTCAACGATGGTGGTAGCAACTGGGCAACAAAGGTTCGCCAAAAATAGTAGCAAAAGCGAGGCAATGGTGGTCCTACATTGGCAGTATTACAACAAAGATCTAGGTGTGGCAATAGCATTGGATTAGCAATGGTGGTTTGATGACAACTACGGGAGCATCAAAGCAATAGTGACACTGGCAACAACATCGACCGTGTATTTGCGGTCCACTAGATGATGGTGGCCCGACGATGGCTATGGTAGTCCGAAGACGATGCTGATGTCAGCTCAACGATAGTGGTCCGACGATAGCAGCGGCCAAGAGATGGTGATCAACCATGACAATGACGGATGCAACGTCAGGTGGGAAACCATGCTTGGGTCTTCCAAAGTGGTTGTATGGCATAAGCAAAGAAAATATGGACATCAATTGGCCAAGCAAGCTTCTTTTAGCTATTCAAAGAACATGTTGTATTAAGGACAACCATTGAAGGGAGATGGTGTATTTTAAGAAGAAGCTTCAAGAATTTGTTGTGACCTGATGCTAATCCATTCTTCTTTTAAACGAAGGCATCTGTTCCTCAGAGCCTCGAAATAAATTGGCTGCAGATCTTATAATATGTAATATGGAATATTTTGATATGAAATTTGAAGTGCTCATCTTCTACACACTCAAAACGTCCATTTGTGAATTGTCGTCAGTTTCCCGACTTTTGGAGTATCTGGAAATTGGCAAACACCAATAAATTAATCAAGAAAAGTTGATTCTTCCAAATTTAGAAAAATAAAATAAATAAATAAATAAAACATTGCATAGGTCAGTGCTGATCTTTTTCCTTGAACTAGCAATCATTCATGATTAAAATTAACATGAATGGAATATTGTAAACCAACACGTAATCCCATATTTCTATTTGATGAGAGAATTGGTGGTTTCAACGAGAGAACAATAATAAATATTACAAAAAAATAAAATTTAAAGATGTAAATTAAAATAAGATATAACACTATAAAATTACTTGAATATGTTATTTCAAAATATTGGGAAAATTAGGGCGAAGAAAAACAAGAACGACGCAAATCCAGAAGAACACAGAGATTTAACGAGGTTCGGCAAAGATGCCTACGTCCTCGGGAGCAGAGCGGCGAGTTCCTTTCAATATTCAGAAAAGGGTTTACAGAATAGAGGGATACCTCCTGGGGTTACTAACATGCCTATTTATAACCCCAGGAGTAAACCTAGACACAATATGTAATTACAACATTACCCCTATACCATACCGCGGGGTTTTGCCCCCGCACCCCAACCTATGTAACTTCCCAATTTGAACAGATTCTTCCGCTCCGCTTCGATCCAGCGTCTGTCCCGATATGGTATATGAGCCATACCACAACAGAATGAGATCGGGTCGAAAAAAATGAGTAAAATTTTGGATTGAAAATTATTCGAGCATAATTTTTTTTCAAGCCGATTTGGAGCCGACCTCAACTCGGCTCGTAATTGGATCGGTATAAGTCCTTATGACCAACTATTCTCATGTTAAACTCGAGTATATTCAGAGTCAATATTGGGTCAATTTAGAGTTGGCGGGTCAATTCCAAATCTATTTCGGGTTGGCGGATCAACCTGAACCCCACACAAAAAATTAAACGAGCAATTTTTATCATAAGAAAAACAAATTTACCAGATTTTCCCATTTCCATTGGCCACCCCTTGAAATTGGCAGGACGTGGTCAATAGTACAGTCCAGACGAGAAGAACAATACCTGTTGATAAACAAGAAGTGAATCTTGGTAGCACTACTTTTAAAGCAAGCAGCAGAAACCAGTTTATGTATAGCTTCTCACGAATGATAACATTTTGCTTAAATGAACTCGAAATTTACAGATATAACCTCAGAAAACACATGCGGGAAGATTTACATACAAACCACCCAATTCCTATGTATTTACAACATCATACTCCCACCTAAACTTTATAACTTCATAATTAAAACCATTTTGCCCGGGCATGAAAAAGATGTATTTCACGTTTTAAAAGTTAGAAGGTTGATTTAAGAAAACAAACTAATTTTAAATTTTTAAGAGCACCTAAAACTTATTCTCCTTACATCAAATCAAATTGTTTTTAGGAACATTTACATACATAGCACTCAATTCCTATTTATTTGCATATCTACCACCTAAATCTTGCTTTTTTAAGCTTGCAACACCCAAATTCTTCACATCACATAAAAAATATCAACATTTTACACCTTTCCATGCATGGGTAATGAGGTACGCATGTAAAAATTGAAGTTTTAGGAGTTAGATATGTAAAAAATACATAAGAACTGAGTAATATGCATGTAAATATGAAGGTTTACACATAATAATGTTATGCCATCAAATGAGCATAGAGCACTTTCTACATGCATATGTTACAAGTTATAAAAGTAAAAACAATTCTAAAAGAACTCATTTTTGCAAAATAAACCTACTGGCAAGTGTATGAATCCCGGAAAAATATGCTTTTTCGACTGAGAGTGTGCTTTATTCTCCTTCTCTTCACTGCCTGAAGCAGGCGACGCACCTGTAGAGAGAGAGAGAAGTCGTCGGTGAGGTCGACGCGTGTAAACAAGTTGAGCTCGTGTTATTCAATTCATTTCATCAAGCAAACAAGCCAAAATCTTTGTTATTATTCGGCTCATTCTATTTGCAAACCATAGCACACAATTCTCATGTATTTACATATCACACAGCGCTAAGCTTTCGTGTGCACATATATAGCTCTTTGGTGCTTTAAACCTTTTAAAAAGTGATGATAGTGTTTTTTTAATATGATATTAAAACGTTGAGGGTTATATGTGTAAAAATGAAAGTTGGCGTGTTAGATATGTAAATATATAAGAATGGTGTGCTATGTATGTAAATGCGCCTAAATTATAAAATATAAAGATCAACACCTAAGGGGCCTTTTCATACATACCACACAATTCTTATATATATTTACATATCAAACACTTAAATTGTTATTTCGTGTAAATATCAAACTTTACGTGTTGGATATGCAAATGCATCAGAATTGTGTGGTATGCATGTAAATTTCCCCACACATGAATGCATATAAATATAAATGCACACATGCATATATAACACGTACGTTTACGTATGGATAAACATAATCAAGCTATCATCGAGTCGACCACTATCACATCTGTTTGGCTCATTAAACATTAAGAGCTTGTAAAAATTGCTCAAACTCGAGCTAATTATTGAGCTGAACTCAATCGAACATGAATAAAGATTTACATACATACCACTCAATTCCTATGTATTTACATGTCTTTAAGACCTAAATTTCAATTTTTACGTACATGCCGCCTAACATATGCATGAAAATATGTATTTCTCATTTTAAAAAGTTAAAATGGTGGTAGTTTTGACGTGTTATGAAAGATTTGGTTGGCATGAATGTAAAAAAGTAAAAAGTTAAGGTGTTAGATATGTAAATACATAGGAAATGGGTGGGGGTATGTATGTAAGAAAAGTTTTAATACCCTTAAAACAGCTGGAATGTAGAAGGAGCCTTGAGGAGAGGAGACTGTCTGATCATAGTACTCTAGAACATCAGCCTGTCAGATTAATTTGAACTTCAATGTGAAACATCTGGTGGTATGCTGGTAAATATTTGTTAAGTCAGAAAAGGATTATATTTTTTTAGCTACATAAAAGAAAACTAAATAAACATTAAAAAAAAAATCAAAAATAAGATTGATCCCAAATAAGTCCTTAGCAAATTTATATTCCTCATTATGAAAAGTATCGCGCAGCAACCGACCTTCTCCATGAACTCTAGACAAATTGCACGCTTCCAACAAACGACGTTGACGGGCCTGCAAAATTACAAATTAAGTTGGATCAATATGCAAAATTATTAGCATAGTTGCATATTCTCACTTACAATATACCAAGTGAATAGTTTGTAAAAAACTACATGTAAAATAAGAATTTAGTGAGGTGAAAGAAAGTCAGCATAGATTCCTCCAAAAGGTAGTACTACTACCATCATGAGGCACCAAAGGGGGATTTGAATGTTTTACCTCTAAGAAGCACAAATCATGTGTAAGACAAAGAAGATTTACATACATACCGCTCAATTTGCACGTATTTACATATCTAACTCCGAAACTTTAATTTTTACATACTGTTGACCTCATTTTCATCATCTCTCCCATCTTTGGCCACTTGTCATTCCTATCTAGTTATGGTATTCCTTATTAGTACACCCCTAGATAGTGCTTGGTTGACCTTGGGTCGGCTCGGGTGTATTTTGTTTGACTTAGATGAGCTTGGGTTTGACTTAAAAAAGAAATTTTAATATAAATTTAAAGCTAAATTTAATTCAACCTAAGTCGTCAATTCAAAATTCATGATCAAAACTTAAATATAAACTTTAAATATAAAACCAGCTAATCCATAATCTAAATAAATTACAAATTAATTCTAATCAATCCATAATTCACTCAAATCTAAATTAAACTTAATATAATCAAACCCTTGATAATAAATCAACTTAAACATTTAATTTAGCTTTTTTTTTTCCTCTTAACATTTAATTTAGCTTAATTTCAAAAAGATTAATATATATATATATATATATATATACATAATTGTTTAATATTTCAACATAAATAATTCAACATAAAATTTCAAAAAAAAAACTCAATCAAAACAGTATAAAAACTCAAAATAAAATAAAAATTCCTTTGTATATCACACTTTAGAAATTGCATTTTTATTCATTAAATTATGAAAAAACTTGAATAAAAATTAATTAGAAACTTAACGATTATGTGAAACCATATGCATATATACACATTATATTGTTATTTCCCTTCCTTCCCCTCAGGCTTCACTTGCAGCATGGAATGGGAGATTCGACCTGTGAGGATCACCACCTTGCCTTTTGCAACTGCCTTGACCTTAATGTTCGATGCATGCATCATTTAGGATTTGCATAACCCCTTTCACGGTCTACACTACATAGTTAAAGTCACAATGATTATTTAGAAATGAATTAATCAAAACTGTCCTCGATCGATTAAATTTGACAAGTCTATTTGTTCATCCTTTTTATTAACTCACTCGAGCCCACATTATATCGAGTCAAAACTAAAAATATAATTTTTAGATTTTACAAATATCAGAATATTAGTATTAGTTAAAAGCATATGTCTGTCTAGTCCGCTCAATCTACTGGATCGAGTGTAAGCCCCAATATATCCTTCTAAATAATAATAGTCTACCACTTTCAAGATACACGTCAATATCATCATAAATTTTACTTAATATGAGTTGTTAGTTAGCAGCCTCTTCCAAGTTACTTCTAATTTCAGAAAAGTCAGGTTAGGTTTTATCCCAACATTTTAGACTAGGTTTGAGTTTCTTAACCTTTGCTAGTAGAGCTCACTTAGTTCAAGTTCAGAGTCGATTTGTGGGTTTGTCGTGGGATCGACCTTTCCTAAGCATTTCAATGATCTGTTCTGTCGAATATAAGTATTAAATTTCTAAAAATTATATAACTCAAACTATAACATCACTTCAATTTCTAAAATGTAAAACTCAACCATATGATAAATTGGAGTAATCATCAGGCCTCCCGACATCTGGTGCTTACAACTCGTTCATTGGATTCTGGCAATAATTGTTTCAGTTTGAGCTAGTCACGTTTCAAACTCCAAATCATAATTTTTAAATCTATCATTGTAATCCATTAAAAAATCAACAACTATTTTACTGGTCATCTTAGAAAATATAATTTTCTAAGATGTAATTGATTAAAGAGACTTGTTTTTCTACGTATACCAAATTCAAGAATAAAACAAACCGTCTTTCTTGGACAGGGGAAAGACTTCTACTCTGAAACCTCGTTGAATAGTGAAATAATCATAAAGTAGTATTTTTATCCCGAAAGATGCTACACTATTTCCTTGATGTTGTATTCGATCACAAATGAACATTTTCAAATAATGTGGGTGGTCCCCCACAACATTAGATACATACGACCTTTCCTATATATAAAAAATTTTATATTTCATTTTTTAAAAACTAAAAATGGGAGTAATTTTTATGTGATATGAAAGATTTGGTTGCTATAAATGTAAAAAGTAAATTTTAGGAGTTAGATATGTAAATACATAAGAATTGGGAGGTATGTATGTAAAGGCCCCATAAGAAAATTGAACATTATCCTGATTAATTTTCTACTTTACTCAAAGTTTTCTGCCAAATGTGATGTAGTAAGACTATCTATTTCCAAAGAAGCCTTCTTCTTACATTGACGTAGTTTGCCATGAGTTTCTCTATTATGGCTGCGTTTAGTTAAAGAAACAGCAAAAGGATTTCTTATTATGGTGTAAAATCAAACTAAAATTGGGAACTCTAAGCAGGAAGATTTACATAAAAACCACTTAATTCTTATGCATTTACATATCTAACTCCAAAACTTCAATTCTTCCATATAAGCCACCTTGCCTATGCATGGAGATATCTCAGTTATAAGAAAGATTTGGGTGGTATGATTGTCAAAAGTAGAGTTTAGTTTTTTTCTCATTTTCATAGATTTTGAGAAATAGTAATGTTAAAAAATAAGTAAACTCATACAATTGTTGCTCCTATTATAAACCACCCAAAACAATGATATTTACAAATTAACCAACCAGGGTATTTTTTTGAACCACTGAACTGATGTATTTACGCGTGCCACAATCAAACTGAGAATTTGAACCGATTTGGATGTATTTACGCGTGTCACAATCAAACTGAGAATTTGAACCGATTTGTAAATAGCCAGTTTCTGGTGGTTTGTATGTGATTAGTCCAATAAAAAAAGGAGATTTACATAGGTAGCACACAATGTTTATGTATTTACATATCTCACATCTAAACTTCAATATTTACACATCTAGCACTTTGGAGATTTAAAACAATACAAGAAAAGGTGTATTTCACTCTTAGGAAATGCTAGTAGTGCTATTATTAATGTGATATTTATAATTGTGTGCTATATGTCTAAATATGAAAGTTTAGGTATGAGATATGCAAATACATAAGACTTATGTGCTATTTATGTAAATATCCCCAGAGAGGAGAAACATGGCGCTTACCTGTAAGATATATCAAGCACCAAACCTCTGAAAAAAGCTAACTCGTCCACACCAAATTCATCATCTTCTTCCTCATCATCTTCCTCCTCCTCCTCAACATCAGTATCATCAAAACCTTCCCCAACCTTCGTATTTCCTCCCTTTCTTCCCGCAGGAAAAACCCTAATCATCTTCCTCCTCCTCAACATCAGTATCATCAAAACTTTCCCCAACCTTTGTATTTCCTCCCTTTCTTCCCGCAGGAAAAACCCTAACCCTAGCGTTCCCTTGATGCCAACCGCTTCTTCCCCTACTCCTCACCCTAACCGGATTATTCAACCACCTCTCCCCACAAACCCTAAACCTAATCGGCTCCTTCGGCTCACCTCCAAAACCAGATCTTTCGCCATGAAGAAGCAGCCTCAGTCCCCCATTTGCCGTGAATCTCGCCATTTGAACAAAGCCAAAAACGCTTTAGAGAAAGAATTTTGATCCGCTTGCTGCAAAGTTAATCAAAATTAGGGTTTTTTGTGAGGAAAAACACGAGCTTTTCTTCGGGTGATTGGTGATGGCGAAAAAATTTGAATTTTGGAAGGCAGAGAAGAAGAAGAGGAGGTAGGAGTTGAGGGTTGGAAATGTTTGCTTGTTAGAGTGTGGGAACAGCTGAGGGTTCTTATCCACATGTTTGAAGATTTCTTAGAATTTAATTACAGTATTGTTATGTTTTAGTCAATTACATAAACATCACCTGAAACTTTGTTATTTACAAATCAACCCTCCTCTTTCATCTATTTTTCTAATACTCATTAAAGTATCAAAATTCATGGTAAAACCCCACTCTTAAATAGTTCAAAAATATTATGTCGATCATTTTTTTTTTTTAAGAAACTCAATAGTAAATTTTATTCCGACAAAAAAAGGTTTACAAGATCTGTGACCGACAGCTTCACTATACACCAATCACCCTCCACCCTACACTCACACAAAGAAATAAAAACCTAAGAAATCGTCAGTTACTAAGTATAACTCACGCAAAAAAAAAAAAAGTCTAAAAAATACCATCACATCAAATATAAAGAGTTTCTAAACAATCACCATGAATAAGTATAAAAAACTCGTGAGGTACTCGAACTGAAAATAAGAAGTATTGTTTCTCCAGCCCACTCTTAGCAGCCCAATTTGCACATTGGTTTCCTTCTGGATATGCAAATAGCCAATTATCTTTTCTTCGGGTGATTGGTGATGGCGAAAAAAATTGAATTTTTGAAGGCAGAGAAGAAGACGAGAAGTTAGGAGTTGAGGGTTGGAAATGTTTGCTTGTTAGAGTGTGGGAACAGCTGAGGGTTCTTATCCACATGTTTGAAGATTTCTTAGAATTTAATTACAGTATTGTTATGTTTTAGTCAATTACATAAACATCACCTGAAACTTTGTTATTTACAAATCAACCCTCCTCTTTCATCTATTTTTCTAATACTCACTCAAGTATCAAAATCTATGGTAAAACCCAACTCAAAAATTTTATCGTAGCACTCGGTTAAATAGTTCTAAAAAATTATGTCGATCATTTTTTTTTAAAGAAACTCAATAGTAAATTTTATTCCGACAAAAAAAGGTTTACAAGATCTGTGACCGACAGCTTCACTATACACCAATCACCCTACACTCACGCAAAGAAATAAAAACCTAAGAAATCATCAATCACTAAGTACAACTCACGCAAAAAAAAAGTCTAAAAAATACCATCACATCAAATATAAGAAGTTTCTAAACAATCACCATGAATAAGTATAAAAAACTGGTGAGGTACTCGAACTGAAAATATGAAATATTGTTTCTCCAACCCACTCTTAGCAGCCCAATTTGCGCATTGGTTTCCTTCTGGATATGCAAATAGCCAATTAACTTACACAATCTTAGCTAAAATTACCTAGATCAATTCATAAATATCAATGTTTAAGATGATATGCATGTAATTATATCATCTTTAGATTGAAGTGTAAAATCCTCTAATTTGGATTACATGATTCATTTTGAATAATTGAAATTATGGTTCTTTTAATTATTATTCAAAATAGATTTAATGTTATCATATTATCCTTAGTATTGTTATTATATTTTGCTTATTATGAGCCAAATGAAGTTAAAAAAAATATTTCACTTTCAATATTATTTTGGGGCCTTTACACACCTATAACACCTAATTTTTATTTATTTATATTTATACCAATTAAAATTATATAATCACAACTTTTAAAAATTGAAATATAATATGCATAGATAAATTGATGTGTGTGTATGTGTCTAAATGAGTGATAGTTATGTAAATCTTCCAATTATTTCAAAATGAATTTTGACATTAGACTATTATATAATTAATTAATTTAATTTTAACATGATATTATGCATAAAATTTTAAAAATAATTAATAAATATATTAACTTTGATTATTAAAGTTTTAATAGATCTCTACTAAACTACATATGTGATTGAGTTTTGGATATTTTCAGATTAATTATAATCAAATACACTTAAAATAAAAATTGAAGCTTTACTGAAATTTTCAAATTTTTGAAAAAATTAGAATTTAACTTTATACAAAATAATGAAAAAAGTGCTTCAAATAAACCCTAAATATTTGCTAAAAGAAATTGAGACATTTAGATACATACCACTATAGTCCTACATATTTACGTATTAGCATCTAAATTTTACTTTGTACATTTAAAAAATTGAAACACTCATTTTACATCAGGACTCCTAACGTAGAGTACATTCAGAGTCCACTGATATGTGGGCACGTGGAGGTGACAGAAAAATAATAATAAAAAAATCGTTATAGCACAGGGAAATATTTCTCCCGTATTATTCTATATTATTCATGTGTTATTGTGGTGATATTCATGTGTTGTTATTTCTGAAAATATTCTCGATGTTATAATAACACAATAACACATCAATACCACCACAATAACACATGAATAATACGTAATAACATAGGAGAAATATTCTCCTGTGTTACCGGTCCAGATCACAGGAAAGCGCGCATGTTTCCTTAAAATCACGTGTCCACATATCAATGGACTTCGAACGTAACTCTACGTTAGGAGTCCTGATGTAATATTTTTCCCCTTTCCATGCATAGAAAAAATGACAAATATATAAAAATTAAACTTTATTGCTCGAAATGTAAATACATAAGAATAAAGTGCCATGTAATTAAATATTCTAAAAAATATTTAGAGGCACTTACATACCACCCAATTCTTATGCATTCATGTATCTATCACTTTAAACTTAATTTTTTTTTTATATGTATACCACTCAAATATTTCGTAACACAAAAATATAGTGAAATATGAGGGTACATATGTAAAAAATAAGATTTATGTGTTAGATATGTGAATTCATAAGAATTGAGTGACATCCATTCAACAAGCATTATAATGAATACCACAAATATAGAATACATATAAAATGAAAATTGCACATTTCATAAAGTCCACTAACGCTAATCATTCAGGTATAATTACATAGAGACCACACGAAACACCGATATTTACAAATTTTGCACCCAGATGAATTTTTTTCGAACTATCCAACTGATACATTTATGCATGTTATGATCAAACCATTGAGAATTTGATAAAACGAAAAGAACAAATCGAGTAAGAATTTGAAAAATGGACGAAAGGAGGGTAGATTTATAAATAACAAGTTATGGATGGTCTGTATGTAATTGCACCAATCTTCTTGAAGGAGATGAATAAATAATAGCCAAAAATATAAGTTTAATTAAATATATTTAGACTATTTGATCATACATAAAATCCATTATTGCAAGTAATATGACCATGAACAGCTCAAAATCCACTTATAACTAATATCTAGATTTATAAAATAAAAAAATAAAATAAATAAATAACCAATATTCATCCTCTTCATGTTTATATGTACAGCTTGGCAGTCCACCCTCTCAATCTGCTATCTGAAATACACAAAAGCCAAGATGAGAAATGTAAAGATGAAAGATTAGTTGTGTAAAATAAGAGGAATTCAGGGGGGTGTTTGAAAACAATAATTTAACATAATTTAGCCATAAATTTAAAGTAAATCCAGCCAAACATAAAAAAATATAAAATTTAAATCTTGTGCTCTGTTAAAACGAATATTGTCTTTTCCATCAGTTATTCGATGTAAATCCGAATTTTCTAAATCCGACTTCACAGTCGAATTTACGAGATTTATTTTGTCGTCAAAATATTGCAGCCAAACACCGCCTTAAACAGATAGGAAGAGCAAAAGAACAAATTTCTCCTCATTCCCTCTGCATTCTCTCTTATTTTTCTCTCAACTCAATGCCACTCGTAAAAATTTACATACATATCACGGGATTCTTATGTATTTATATATCGAACACCTAAACCTTCATCTTTACATTTATAACGCTTTAGTCACGTCAAAATCTACGCATAAGAAGATGTAGTTCACTCTAAGAAGGTCGGTGACAATCATATTTTTGATGTGATGCAAGAGATTTGAGGGTTATACATGCAAAAATCAAAAGTTAGGCATGAGAAATGAGAATACATAAGAATTGTGTGCCATGTATGCAAATCCCCCTATATTAAATTGAGTTTCACTGGCAAATACTACACATAATAAATACTCACACCATAATAGTAATAATAATAATGAAAATAGCATTAAGTTAAAAACAAAACTGAAATTTAAAAATAAAATAAAATAAAATAAAATAAGATGAAATATTTGTTTGAAATATGAAATTAAAGTTTACAGATGCTTATTTAAATTAGAGTGGAAATTAATTGGATATTGAATAATAATTTAATACAAATAGTAGATGTTGATTAAAGTTTTAGTATTAATGATGGTTAAATTAAAGTGACATGAATACTTTCAATTAAATATGTTAACCAATAATTAAATTAACATAATTAATTAAATGACTAATAAAACATAATTAAACAATATGCTTAAAATTTATTTTTTTATTATATCTAACTATTAGAGACAGAAGCTTTTAGGTAAGTCGGCTAAACGAGATAGTACGTTTATTTTTAAGCTATTGTAACTTCTAGTTTCTTCTAAATCAAATTCATTGATAGGGTACTGAAACTTGATTACACAATTTTACTGTGATTTTTATGCTTTTGTTATTTATTGGTCATTTCGTTGTGATTATTTTACATTTTTAATAAGACTACTATTACGCATTATTTAAAAGCGTACATAAATTGATTGCATATTCATGTTGACTATGATGAAAATCTTCTCTTTTATGGTACCAGTGGGGATGCTAAGGTACTCATAGATGTAATTAAAAAAAAGATATTGATATTGGTGTATCTTAATTGATACAATTTTAAAAAGTTCTACCGTGACGGTTATATTGATATAAAATAATATAGATATTTACTAATATAGTAAACTGCATTGGAGTTTTGAACTATCGTGAATGATCGTACTTGAAAAAGTAAACCATTTGATGCTTTAATATTGATTTATAATACTTATGATTAGCATGCAGATTATTTCATTTTCGTTACATTACTGTAGTTTAGAAGTGCACTCATTGGCTTGTTGTAGCTAATTATTGTCTTAAATTAACCTTTTTTCAACTTTAATTTTTTTTTAAGATGTTTAGTTGATAATTGAATGTTTAAAGAAGACGTGGGTAACCTGAACTAAGATAAATTTAACCGTATTACTTTAAATGATTATCACAGTCCAACTGTCTATTCCTGTCTTAGAAAATCCAAACCATAGATCGGGTTCAAAAAAGTTTGCAGGAAAAAAACAGTTTTGATAGAAATCCAAACCATAGGTCGGGTCGTGGAATAATCAACTTCAAAAAAGTTTGCAGGAAAAAAACAGTTTTGATAAGCCAAATGATTTTAGGGGCATTTACTTAAATACCACACAATTCTTATATATTTACATATCTAACAGCTGAACTTTCATTTTTGTATATATGCTACTCAAATCTGCGACATAACATAAAAAATACCACTTCTACTAACTGTTTAAATGGGAAATACACATTCTCATGCAAAAGTTATAACATCAAAGTGTTAGAAATGTAAATATCGCGACATAACATAAAAAATACCACTTCTACTAACTGTTTAAATGGGAAATGCACATTTTCATGCAGAAGTTATAACATCAAAGTGTTAGAAATGTAAATATCAAAATTCAGGTGTTAGATATGTAAATTTTCAAATTATGGTCACATACCATTGCTGGATCTTCCTGAATTCTGTCAGTACAGGATATATATTTTCAAATGCAGCATAAGTATCATCTCTCACCTGAAAGTGCAAAAATAAAATTAATCAAAGCAAATTAAATAGATCAATTAATATAATCTTGCAATAAAGAATTAAGCTACCTTAGCTCCAGTAAGAACAATCTTGCCTGAAACGAATATGAGAAGCACAATTTTTGGCTGCTTCATTCGATAGATCAGACCAGGAAACAGTTCTGGTTCATACTGCATCAATGAATAATTACATAAATAATCCTTTAAATTAGCCATTAAATTGGAAAATTACAAAATAGAAGAAATAGCTTTTTATGTAAATATAAAAAAATTTAAAATAAAATTGAAAAAAAAGAGGGGTCGAATCTTTCATATGACAGAAAATACTACTATTTTAACTTCTAAGAAGTGAAATGCACGTTTTCAGGCAAAGGGGAGGCGGTGTTTGGATGCAACTTAATTTTATGTTAAATAGAATTTATTAAATCCGATCAATCCTAATTTATCAGATCGATGATGCAACGGAAGAGCTCACGAGCGACGGCGGAATAAATCCAGGTCGCAATCGGATTTACTAAATCCGCATTTACATCATAAAAATGATGGAACGCAGAAAGAGAAAGATGGAACACGAGAAATTTGGATTTAAAGTAGTGGATTTTATTTTTATTTATTTATTTATTTATTTGTTTCGCTGGATTTAAGCTAAATTTATGGTTAAAACATATTAAAAATATGCTACCAAACACTGCCTAAGATGGCATGCACGTAAAAACTGAAGTTTAGGAGTTAGACACATTTAAATAAGGAGTAGTGCAACGTCAGACATTTATCGGATACCAAAACTTGCAGACATGCCTCAGACACATCCCTAATGTGTATGATTTAAATAATATTAAAATAAAAAAGAACACGAGTGTCTTAAATTAGTAAATTAAAAATTAAGAAAAATATATTTTTAAGCATTTACAGCATATTTTTATAAGTAAGATTAAAAAAATTAATTTTTATTTAAGGATTAAACATGCATGTTCTACTTTTTCATCTCATTTCTTTTCTCACAAATGAGCTTAAAAGATTAGTCAATCGCTTGACTGGGCTGATAATTCTCGTTATGGACATCTTAATTTTCGAAAGATAATGCTATTAAATTTCTTTTTATATTTTTCTTAATATTTTATTTATTCAATATATATATATATATATATAATTTTTATGATAATGGTGCATCTAACGCATGTTTGTGTTAAATATTTTTAATAAAATAATAACAGTGTCCCGTGTCCATGTCCCTGTATCCGCATCCGTGCAACAAAGATATAAATCTTCGGAAAAAAAATGAGGCAATGATGCATAAAACTTACACTAGAGAAGGCACCATGGGAGTAAGCCAGTCCTTCAAGCCTTATGGGAAACTTCACATCACAAGAACCAACAATATTTTGAATCTTAAAATCCTAAATTTTATTATAAATAAATACAAATTAGGAGATTAAAAGCCAAAAAAAATAAAAATAAAAAGCAACAATACTTCAAGCATATGATGATAATTACCTTGAATTTGGCAGGGAAACCAAGCTTCTGAATGATACGAGCATACTGAAATAAATAGAAAAAAATAAATAAATAACTCAAAAAATATATTTAATAAAATTAAGGAAGATTTGCATACATACCACTCAAATCCTATGTATTTACACATCTAACACGCAAACTTCATTTTTTCCTTGCCTACGCATGAAAAGGTGTATTTCACTCGAGTTAAAACGATAGTATTTTTTGTGTGATATGAAAGATTTGGGTGTTGTAAATGTAAGAAATAAAATTTGAGTGTTAGATAAATAAATACATAAGAATTAGGTGGTATGTATGTAGATACCTCTAAAATTAGCTACATTACACATTGTTATGCATATAAAATGATGCTGAAAGGTGTTGTAGTACCTTCCGAGCAGCAAGCTTGGACTGAAGCTCACTCTTAGCTCCAGTGCACACCTGAGACATTAGAAGGTTAGAACAGGCAATAATCAATAAATACCAAACAAAAAGAAGGGGCATTTACATACTTACCACCCAATTCCTATGTATTGACATATCAACCCCCCAAACTTCAATTTTTACCTACAGATTGGCATAGGTTGGGTGGTTTGTAGCGAAAAATTGAAGTTCAGGGAAAAAAAAACATTATGGGGCACATATTTTAGGTTTCAATATCATATGGAAGATTTCCCATGATATTTTAATAATTAAAAATAAATAAGAAGAATAAATAAAAGCAAAAAATACATATTTAAGTATGGAAGATTTACAAACATACCACTCAATTCCTATGTGTTTACATATCTAGCACCTAACTTCAACTTTTACATGCATGCCACGTTACCCGTGCATGAAAAAGGTGCATTTCACCTTTTAAAAGTTAAAATGGCGGTATTATTGAAGTTACGTGAAAGATTTGTGTGGTATAAATCTAAAAAGCAAACTTTAGATGTCAGATATGTAAATGCATAGGAATTGGGTGGTATGCATGTAAATGACCTTAAATATTATAATTCTGATAACTTGGCTGGTTGAATGTAAGTGTTGAGCAATAAGAATTATGTATACAAAGATATATAGGAACAAATACTAGAAAAAATTTGGTGAGGATGTCCTAGCCAAGATATACATAAAGGCATGTCATATCACTTCCATCTGCTTTGAAATGCATGTAATTCAAAAATAATTAGGAATATTTACTTACATAGCACTCAATCCCTACATATTTGTATATCTAACCATGGAAAATTAAGAAGTAACAGGCTCCTTTGGTCGGTCGGCTACCTACTTATCATGGAAGATTGAATTGGGAGAAAACTTTGAAAACTTCTTAATCAATTTTATTCTCTTCTAATTTATTTAATTTTTGTTATTTTATTTCAGAATTATTTACTTTTCAAATTTAGATTTGGATATATTTAGTATGTTTATAAATTAGGAGGGATTGGTTTACCTATATGTATATGTATCTATATGTATTGATACAAAGCAATGTAAAATTATTTGTATGAATGGAGAACATATTTTGTGTTGAGGAAAATTAAGCGGTGCACTAAGATATCAACAAAAATGAAGAAATTATAAGAATCAAGTGAATGCTTGCATTTAAACTCTCAAGCAATCGAAGCCAAACGTCCACCCATTTAAGGCCCCTCACATATTTAAATTTATATTTTATTTTCAGTTTCTAGAAAGTTTGAATTTTCAAATTTGGAGGCTTTTATGGATGGTTATAAAAAAATAATAAATCAAGAAGGTGGTTAACACCTTCAAAAAATTTTCCCCTTTTTTTGACTTTTTTATCATTGTAATCTCTATAAATATGACCAATATATTAATCGTTGAATGAAATATTTGAGTGAAGGTCTTTTCTCTTATTGATTGGTGTTTGATGGCTTCAAGTGCTATATTTTCTTTGATGAGATTAGGTATTTAGCTTTGTTTTTCTTTTCAGTTATTTATTATCTATTTATAACATTTACTCTAAAATCTTCACCACCCCTCATCCACATTCTAAACATCTCTTAATATTGCTAATTAACAACCAAAGCCTCAGAACCATTATAAACCTCTCTTCATATCTCTCAATCAAGTTTAGAGCACATTAAGGCAATCTTATTCTTTAACCCTCAACACCATTGTAAACTTATCTAAAACTATTCATCTATTCCAAATCATAGGTACACATTCTAAGCTAACACTAATAATTATTTTCAGTCATCTACCCAATCTTAAGTCACTTTCCCACAAAAGAGATATTTCAAATTAACCCAAACAAGACTAATTTAGACTAATCTTGGTATTTTAGTCATCATTCCATCTTAAATCTTTTAATAATCCACCAAAATCTTCACATAACATCTTTAGACCTATCACCAAACATCCATAGCAATTTTTTAATATTTTATCTCATCAAAAGACCACCCACCTCCATCATATTCAGTATCAGAACGAATTTGGGAAGATGCCAAGTAACGTTGAATTGTTTTGGGGGGAGTTTCCCCTTATGGTGTACCAAATGGCTCAACCATTAAAATTATGATTATAATAAAATTCACCACAATTAATAAATTAAGTATTAGATTTTAGTGATGATTCATTTGCATGAATATGAAGATGAGTTTGGTGATTCATTTTTTTATTGAATAACTTTGTTAAGTTTTTCAAACTTCCATTTTATATATTTTCTTTTTTTTTTATCAAATATCCACTACATAGCTTTCATAATTATAATAAAATTTACCACTCTTCATAAATTATGTATTAGATTTTAGTGAGGATTTATTTGTATGCATGTGAAGATGAGTTTGGTAATTCATTTTCTTACTGAAAAACTTTGATGAGTACTTTCCCAAAAAGAGAGATTTCAAATCAGCTTTCATTTTCTTGGTGAAGAACTTTGATGAGTACTTTCCCAAAAAGAGATATTTCAAATCAGCACTAAATAAGGCTAATTTAGACTAGCTTGGTATTTTAGCCATCATTCCATCTTAAGTCTTTTAACAATCCATCAAAATTTTCACATCACATCTTTAAACCTATCACCAAACATCCATAGCATTTTTTTAGTGTTTTATCTCATCAAAAGGCCACTCACCTCCATCATATTCAGTATCAGAGCAAATTTGGAAAGATACCATGTAACGTTACATTGTTTTGGGGGGGAGTCTTCCCCTTATGGTGTGCCAAATGGCTCAACCACTAAAATTATGATTATAATAAAATTCACCATCCTTAATAAATTAAGTATTAAATTTTAGTGATGATTCATTTGCATGAATGTGAATATGAGTTTGCTGATTCATTTTTTTATTGAATAACTTTAGTAAGTTTTTCAAAGTTGCATCTTATATATTTTCTTTATTCTTTTATCAAATATACACTACATAGCTTTCATAATTATAATAAATTTTACCAACAACAACAACAAAACCTTTATCCCACTAAGTGGGGTCGGCTACATGAATCCTTTTTCTCCAGTGTGTCCTATTAGTGTTTACACAATGATCAAAAGGATTCATGTCTTCACTACAACATCCACGACCCAGCTTCAGAGAGAGTGTTGAAAATCAAGAAGTAGCTGGCTACTTCCTTGGGTGGGCTGACCGACGAAGTACCTATCATGAAAAATTGAATTGGGACAACTTTAGAAACTCCTTAATTAGTTTTATTCTCTTCTTATGTTTTTTGTTATTTTTATTTTAGAATTATTTCCTTTTCAAATTTAGATTATATATATATATTGCCCTATTTATGCATGTAAAAGGTGCATTTCACTTTTTGATATAGAAGATTTGGGTTGTGTAAATGTTAAAGAAGTAAAGTTTAGGTGTTAAATATTTAAATACATAAAAATTGGATCGTATGAATGTAAATGCCCCAAAATAATTAATATTGCACTCGTTTGAAAGAGAATTTAAGAAAGTAGAGACCCGGCCATAACTAAATTTGGTTCTGGATATCCTTATAATTTATTTCTAAAAACTTACACATGCGTGCAGGCTCGTGTCCCTGAATGAGAGAATTCTCCTTTTAAATATAATTTACCATTTGAGAAATTCCATGAGATTAAGAACCAGGCCATTAATAATACTAACAATCAAAGGAATTAATTAAATGCATTGCACACATTGCTCATCATTTCTTGGAAGTGATGCTGCAATTTTCGATGAAATAAGCCGATAAGATAAACAAGAATTTACATACATGCCACATTTCTTATATAATTACCTATCTAACGCCAAAACTTTCACATTTACATACATACCGCTCAAATCTTTAACATTCATAAAAAATACCACCATCATTAACTTTTTAAAAGTGAAATACACATTTTCATGCATATTTTTTAACACCAAAGTATTATAAATGTACATATCAAATTTTAGGTGTTTGCTATGTGAATACATAATAATTGTGTGGTATGTATGTAAATTTCCCTGCGATGAATCATCAGCTCATAAAATAAAAGAAAAATTGCAAATTGAGCAAAACTCATTTGTAAAAACTCACCATTTTGCCAGAAGCAAAGATCAATGCTGTGGTTTTAGGGTCTCTTATTCTCATTATAACTGCCGCGAAACGCTAGAAAATGAATCAATAAGAGCACCATTAGGAAAGAAGAACAAACAAATTATAATCTGGCAGTTAAATAATACAAAGTAATAACATCACATAATAACAAGTGGATTTCCTAAAGTAAAAGACATGAGTTTTGACCAAATAAAACACGAAAAATTACTTGTGCTTATCCTCTTCTCTAATTTGAAACAGCTAAAAAAAGTAAAGTACTCCGCATTCCGACATAATTAAGGCTTTGTTTAGGACGGCTTTCTGATTGCTTTTCTGGTGGAAAAACAACATATAGAAAATAATGTTCATTTAGATGATAACTTTTTCATTATTTTTTTCAAAAATTTCTCCTTGGAAGGAAAGCTACATTTTGGAAAGCATAATAGGAACCACAATGGAAAAAATAGATTCTAACAACGAACTAGGAAAGGAATATTTACAAACATACCACTCAATTCCTATGTATTTACATGCCTAACACCTAAACTTTAGTTTTTACATATATCACATTTTACCTATGCATGAAAATAAATATTTCACTCTTTAAAAGTTAAAATAGTGGCAATTTTTAGGTGACAAGACTGATTTGTGTGGTATAAATGTAAAAAATGCAAAGTTTTGGCATTAGATATGTAAATGCATAGAATTGGGTGGTATGTATGTAAATGTCCCGAACATAAAAACATGAGCTAAGCCTTATAATCCCCGTGTTCTTACAGCATAGCTACATCCCACGCTTCAGCTGTGTTTGTATGCATCCATGCAAATAACAAATAATATTACATATATAGTCATTCCAAAAACCTCACTTACCACCTAATTAAAATTTAATCTAAGATTCATACTACATATCTCAGTTTATGTTAGGGGTTGTTTGGGGTCCATTTTATTTTTTATTTTTGAAAACAAAAAATAGGAAATAAACAGAAAAACAGTGTTTATTTATCAGTTTTTAGTTTTATTTCTGTTTCTTTCATTTTTAGAGGAAACACTTATGGTTTTAAAATACTCAAAACATGGAAATCATATTTTTATCTGTTTTTAGAACACCGAAAACAGTCTTCGCCCGTATCCCACTTGAAAGATTCACTCGTCTCCCACGGGATAGAGTGGATGATGCCCTAAGCTCACGCCTGATCACTCCCCTTCCTCCTCACGCTGGCTGCTACCCGCAAGCACAACAACCCATTCCTCTCAATTCCACCCCTAGCTCGCCAAACCCCTTCCCTCTCGACCCGAAACTCTCGCCTTCAATGGGATCACAACTTATAGAGGTCACTGCCCCCTTCCCTATCGTCCCCCACCCTTGCGATAGACTCGCGATTTGCTACGACCATGAAGGTTGTGACGGGATCGCAACTCACAGAGGTCACCGAAACTTCATCTTTCTTTTCGTTTTGCATATAAATTGATTTATTTGGTTTGACATAATCGTATCATTGTCTTTGTATTGTTCTTGTAATATGGTGCCTGATTCCAAAAGAACAGACATCTTCTGTGTTGCTGCCATATTTATTCAATGGGATTTTGTGGCTTTGTTTCAGTATAAGAGGCTTATTACTCAAAATTTTCCTTCTATTTTATCATAAAATATGTTAAAAGTATCATTTTCCCTTCAGCATGCATATTTTGATGTTTAACATTAAGCATTAGTGATGTTAAAATTGTCGCTTTGCGGATAATAACTTTTTTAGAGCGCTTTTATGTGAATAGCTTGGAATTTTTTTCAGCTCTTTCCCATTTTTATCAGTCTAATATTTGTGTTTATTAAGCAGGCGATGGATATCCTTGTGGTTTTAACATTCATAGCACTTTATTCAAATCTTATTATTTGTTTGCAAGATTTGCATAGCACACAATTCCTATCTACTTTGCATATATAGCACTCAATTCCTATCTACTTACATACATAAAAATTGTAATTATTTCAAGTGTGTGCTAGTATTGTATGTAGTTATGTCTCTAGAGCTCTCTCTTTAATAGTTTCAAGTTGTTGATAGTTTTTTTATGTAGTAATGCTTTTTATGTGAAATTTTCAAGTTGATAACAGTCGTATATGTAAATGCACTAGAGTCGTGTGCTACGTATATGAAAGAGTTGTCTTCAAATGATGCTACTTTGGTATGTAAAAAAAGTTTCACGTGCTATGTACGTAATTGTTTCATAACTATGTATGTATTTGTTTCATGTGCATGATAATATTTTCCAATTAGCAATGTCTCAAGTGTAATCTATGTAATTGTTTGGTGTTGTCTATAGTTTGATAATTGGAATTACTTTTACTTTAGTATTATCTATAATTTTTGGTTGTTGATAGAAAATTTTTTTTATCTCCGTAATGGGTTGGAATGGTTGAATGTGCCCCTACATTTCTTTCTCGTTGAACTATGGATAATAATGATGATATTGAAATCACTGGAGACTTAGCATGGTCAGATATAAATGAACAAATCTTCATTCAACTTATGGAGATTGAAGTGATTAATGGGAATAAGCAAACAACTACTTGCCGTCCAGCTACAAGCGCATTTCACAAGGACTTGAATCATCACAAAAAGAAAATACAAACAAGAATAATTGAGAAATAAATTTAATACAATTAGAACTTGTTGGGGAGAATTTTCAAACTTATTGAAAGAGACTGGAATTGGCTATAACGCAACCACAGGTCAAGTGATTACATCTGAAGATGCATGGGACAAGTTATATAAGGTATTTATTTCATCTTATATTTAATCCAAAACTTATATTTTATCATTTACACATTTTTATTAATCATAATGTTTATTTACCAATTTATAGGTTAATAAAATTGCAAAAATATTTCAGAAAAAAGGATGCCCAATATCGTATTTATGGTAACACAACTGCAATGAAAACTCTGCAATATCCTTCTACTAGAATCCTTTCAAACATTGAGGAAGAAGATGAGATTGAAGAAAGTGAAACAAAATCTATAAAGGAATCATTATATAAGGAGAAGAATATAGGAAAATTACTTGTTAAACATGTGAAGAAGACGACAATTTCAGATATGACTCCCCCACCCTTCAAGTTTAAAGGGGGAGTTTGAAAAAAAGAGTTTATATGATAGAAAAGAAATTATGCACCTCAACTGGATATTCTAATGAAAGCTCTAAATCTTTGTTGGTTGAATGTATGAAATTTCTCAATTTAATACAAGACCCGGATAACATTAGCTACTCAAAAGTTTTACACAAATTCCAAAAAGATGCCATATGGATGAAGATGTTTCTTCACATGTCTGATAGTTGAATGAAAGGCTATATTCTTAACCTGAAATGACTTGCTCATCACGATGAACCCTATGTGCCCTCCTTATCTTATGTGTTTGTGTTTTAAATGTGTTATGTTTAATTGTTTTTACTTTCATTATTATTGTCGAACATTATATTAGCTTGGGTTATGATTATGATGCATGTTTGTGATTTTAAAAGCTTGGGATGTATGTGTTGATGCATTGTTAATGATCATATGATTTTAAGAGAAAAGTAGTTTTTTTTTATTGAATATGAAAAAGAGCATTGTGATTTTTTATATTCATGATTACTCGTACAAAGTTTATTTCCCCAATTATTATTATATGAAATAGTATGACATCCAGCTTGATGTTTTGAAAAATATAGAATGGAAATTTATCTATATTTTTGAAGCATAAATATCTCATGAAAAACTCAAAATGGCTGACCGTGGAGGAAAAACTCGCAAAATTTATTCTTATTTTATCATATAATGAACACTTAATAGTGGTTGTTGAATGATTTCAGCATTCATTTGAGACAATCTCACGACATTTCAAAAAGACTTTGAAGGCAATTTGTCACTTGAGAACTGAGATTATTAGTCAACCATCATTTGAGATGATTCCTCCAGCAATCCAATATAATCAAAAGCACTATCTTTTTTAACAACATAAATCCAAGTTAATGTTTAATTTATTTGTTTATTTGGGTTATGAACAATAATATATGTGAGTTTTTTTACTATGATTGTATAGGTGCACTTAATAGAACACACGTTACTGCGCACGTACCTAAAGAAAATCAAACTTCGTATTGAGGAAAGCATAAATACCCAACTCAAAATGTAATGTGTTGCATGTAGATTTGACATGATGTTTACGTACGTATTGTCAGGTTGGGAGGGAGCAGTGAATGATGCAAGAATATTTCTAGAGTGTATTTCAAATCCACAATTAAATTTTTTGATGCCATCAAAAGGTATGTTAACTTTATTCTTATTAAGTTCTGTAATTATTAAATGATATTTATAGTAAGTTATGTATATAAATGTGTTTTTCTATAACAGGGAAATATTATATCATTGATTTAGGATGTGTTAATATGTTTGAATTCTTAACACCATACAAAAGAATAAGGTATCATTTGTGTTATTACCATGAGGGCGTTCAATCTCAAAAACAAGAAGCACTTTAATTATAGGCATTTTTCTTTAAAAATTATTATTGAGCGATGCTTTGGAGTTCTAAAAGTAAGATTTTTAATCCTTAATAAGATATCTCCAATGATTTACGCACACGACATTATATTGTTATTTTTTGTTGCACACTACATAATTTTATAATATCACAATTGATAATGTAAATAAAAATTTTATAGTTGACACAAAAAGAGGTTCTACATGAACTCCTACCTCACAAAGTGCTATTGAAGCTAATGTTTATTAATCTCAGTTGTAGTACATGGAATTTTTTCAAGACCGTTTTGTCAGAGAATTTTGGAGCCACGCACATAACTGAGTTTACTAATTAGCTTGTAAAATTTTTAATGTTGATCTTACAATGTTATCAATGTAATGTTGGATTTATTTTGTTTTGGTTTAAAAGATATTTGCCTTCTTATCGGACATATAAGTGTTATTTTAGTGTGAAATCCTCATGATTTTGTGTTTTGTTAAAAGGCAACACACTTGGATGTGTCAAGTTTGATATTATTGTTGTAACATTATTATAATTTCTATATATATGAGTATAACATATTTACATAGCATAGATGATATTTTTTAAAAATATTTATTTATTTATAAAAAATAGAAAATACCCAACCAAACATGTTTTATATTTTTTATTTTTAAAATCGGATAAATCATAACAGTACCAAACATGTTTTCTAAAAACAGAAAACAAAAAAAAATAAAACTGACTAAAAACAAAAACAAAAACAAAAAGTAGAAAGTAATCCCAAATGGGATCTTACTAAAACAATTATCTTAAACAATGCATGCAAATTAAAAAATAGGAACACATACAGTATTTGAGGAATTTACATACACACCGCCAAATTCTTAAATATTTACATATTTAACGTCTAAATTTTTAAGTATGTTTTTATAACACCCTAGCGTATAAATTAAGTGTGCAATTGAGCCAAGCAGACCTATGAGCTGACTCATACTCGACTTGATATGTTGATCACGAACTGGCCTTGATCTGTGAACAAGCCAAGCTCGACCCAGCTTTAAATCGACTCGTTGCTCATGAGCCATCTTGACCCACCTAATTTATAGCGTATAAATTAGATGTGCAATTGGGCCAAGCTGACTTATGAGTCGGCTCAAACTCGACTCGATATATCGATCACGAACTGAGCTTGATCTGTGAACAAGCCAAGCTTGACCCAGTTTCAAATCAACTCATTGTTCATGAGACGTCTTAATTTAAAAAAAATATATATTAACATAAAATACATTAAAAAAAGATTAACATTTAAAATTTTAAGCACACATCATTAAAATTATAATAAAAATCATATTTTACCTTCTTATATCAAGTGTTTTCTTATTATTTCCTCTTTAATTGCTCATTATTTGTCATTTTCTTATAAGAGTTAGTTTAATCATAATATTTTTCTCTTACATGATAAACGAGCTGGCTCATTAACTGACTCAAACTCGTAATATTAAACTCAAGTTTGAGCTTAAACTGGATTAATTAATCAAGCTCAAGCTCACTTCCGTGATAGCTTTAGCTTGGCTTACACATTTATACCCCTCGTATAAATCACATAAAAAAATACACAAAAATGAATTTCACTTTAGATAACTTAATGTTAGTGGCAACTTCTTCTATGATTTGGAGGATTAAAATGTTATACAAATAACCATACGAAATTAGGATTAGATATGTAAAAACATTAAAAATCAATGGTTGATATGTAATTCCCAAGAGAAATTAGCACCAATAAACCAAAGTTCCAACCATACCTTGGGGTTGTACTCAGCATTCCTGGCTTGCAAGGCAATTGCTTTTAGATCCAACTGGCAGTCCAGATTAACAGTTGAAACAATATTCCTGGAGTTAAAACAACAATCCCTGTATAACTTACTTAACATACTATATACGGATTCTACAATAGAATCTGGCATAAAACATTTTGTTTTGGAAGATTGACGTACATATCACTCAATTCTTATGCAATTGCAAATCTAACATTCAATTTTTACATGCATCTCATCTTACCAATGCATGAAAAAGTGTATTTTACTTTTTAAAAGTTAACACAATATTATTTTTTATGAGATATGAAGATTTGGGTGGTCTAAATATAAGTAAAGTTCAGAAATTTGTTGCCATGTATGTTACTTTTTAAAAAATTAAAAAGATAGTACTTTTATGTGCACCACCACCCAATGTGTTTTTCTACAAAAAAAAAGAACTATTTTTTAATAAAAACACAAAATGATGCAATCATTCAACTCAATCTTCTTTGATTAAAATCGCATCCTTTTCTATACCACCTGATATTCAACACTCTATAATCACGTGAACAAGAATAATAGTGATATAATTTGAATTAAAACACCACAAAAGAACATTGAAAATCTCAAAAGGGCTATTTGGATTGCTGAAAAATGAACGAATTGTAATAGGAACATGGTTTAATCAAAATGTTTTGTAGTTAAAATATTTTGAAGTTATTTGGTTTGGTGTAAAGTAAATTCAAGAGTTCACATTTTGTGTTTGCTTAAAGGAAAATTAAAATCAATATACAATATGCACAATGATAGCGAGTGGCGGGCTGCTGACAAAGGCAACGGCAGAAAGCTAAGATGGGTGGCCGACCGCGAGCCGTGGCAGCCAGTGGCTAGTTTGTGCAGTGATCAACTACAATTTACAATGTGTTTGGAAATTGGCCAAATCTAACGACTTTAGATTGCATTCGTTTAAAACTATAAGGAAATTTCCAAATTCACCCAAATCATACAATGCATTGCTTTTTTATTCCATCAAATGTCAAAATTTTAAGTCTCTTACATTTGGATTACTTTACACCAAACACACAAACCCCTACAAAAAGAAAGACAAAAATATGCGTACGAACAAAAATAAAAAACCTGAACTTGACTGAAAGGAACATCAAAGAAAAAGAATGGGTTGTTTACATACATCACACTTTAAACATTGTATTTACAAATCTAGCTCCCTCTTTGATCCACTTTTCAAATTCTCGACCAAATATCAAAATTCATGATAAAACTCCAACCCATATTTTTCATTTTTATCAAATTCTCATTAGTTTGATCATGGCAAGCATAAAAACATCGGTTCTATAGTTCAAAAATATCACCTAGGTGCTAAATTTTGTAAATAGCAATGTTTCAGGTGCTATGTATGTAATTATCCCAAGAAGAAAATGAAATGAGTGATCCTATTATACTAGCCATACATCCGATTAAACCACATCTAGATTTTCTTAAACATATCAGAAGAAACAAACAGCTGAAACCAATAATCATGATTTCTACATATTTTCAGTAAGCTGCATAAATCAAATTAAAATCTTTATATTGCAGCTTGTTCCACCAAACAAACTACCATTCTAATAAAATAAGAAAAAAAATAACAGGAGCAAACTTACTGCAACGTGGGCACAATACCAGAGGGATGCTTAGAAAGATCAACAGGCTGGTTCTCCTCCAACCCCTCCGCCATATTCTACCTTATTCACTCTAAGGGGCTGTTTTGGTAGCCGGTTTTAAGCAGGTTTTATGCAGGATTTAAGCTAAATCCTGCCAAACGACAAAAAAATCCCTCCGTAAATGCCAAAAAGACACCGATTGCCGATAAATACTGGATTTACTAAATCCTATGAATGGCGGATTTAGTAAATCCTGGACGAGCGAAGAGGAAGGATGGCGCGAACAAGCTTACCTTCCTCAACGGCTTCTGGTAGGGGCAGAGCGAAAGGATGAGAAAAATGGGAGTTTCGGCGTTCTCTGTAAGCCGCGATCCCTTCGATGCCTTCCCAGCTACCTCTAATGTTACAAACACTATCCAATACCAATCTTTTTTAAGGTCAAAAATGGCGGTTAACGTTTCACTAGGTTCGCAGCGAAGGTGAATGGATATAGACGAGATGGAAGCTAAGATTGCGAGCAGAAGAGAGAAACAGCGACTTCCGCCGATTAAATGAGCGATTCGAAGAGAATAAAGAGGAAAATTTGGATATTGGCGGGGAAAGGAGGAGTTGATTGGATTTATAGAAGGGAGAATTTTAAAAATGCGTCTTTTATAGGGATGGGATGGGATGGGATTTGGAGGCAGAAAAGGAAGGCTTTTGGTTTTAGGGTTTCGTTTGGATATAGAGAGGTGGGTGAAGAGAGAGAGAGTGGGGAACGATTTCAAGCTTGTGAAATGACCGGCTTCTGCGGGTTGCAGCCGGTGCCACTCACAATTGTATACTTTTTTTAATATTTGAATATTTGGAGGTTAATTTTTTAATGGAATTATATTAATTAAAAGCAAAAACGGCCGTCATTATTGCATTTTCCACTTTTTATATTTAATTATATTAAAAATATGTTTGTTGAGAGGGTTATCCATGTTTTTCAATTTTTCTGATGGAGTTCAAATACTCTCTAGCACAGCTGTCTTTAAAAGATGATACTCGAATTATTAAACACATTAGGAATGACATGAAAGCTCGTATGATAGTCTCTGATCATTCTTTTATGAAATATATATAAACACACGTGTGTATTATGTCTACTAGACAATTTCAAAGTCAATATTTTATAAAAAAAATTAAATTATTTTTAAGTCATGTGGTCAAATGTATTTCAAATATGTATCCTTCAGAATATAAAAAATAAAAAATAAAAAAATAAAAAAAGTTTAGAAAACCCCCTATAATATCTTCAGAATATAAAAAATAAAAAATAAAAAAAGTTTAGAAAACCCCCTATAATATGATCATTTTCATAAGGATATACAAGATAAAAACTACTTATAATTTTTTTTTTATAAATCCACCCTTAAAGGTGTGAATTGGAATATTATAATCTTTTCAATTATAATCCAAAATACTCTATAAAATTAACTATTTGCAAAATTGCACTAAGTTTGGAATTTTTTAGATTCATGTTATGGAGATGTTCATTTTGATAATAAGCACAAGCAAATTTAAAAATTATTTGGCTTCTCTAAATAAGTTTTAAGAGATAATCAAGTGCTTATTTAGATTAAATTTATGTGATTTTAGTATGTTTGATTTGTCTTTTTGAATTATTTTAGCTTAATTATAAATTTATAAAAATTGAAATCTAAGCAATTTAGAAAAAAAATGTGTGTTTTTTTTAAGTCGAATGTTTAAGAATTATTTGGGAACAATTTTGTAATTCATTCATGATATTATCTATTAATTAAATTTAAAAGTATATTTATTTAATATGTTTTGCATGTTTTTTTATTTTTTTTAAGTACAAGTTGACGTATTTTTCAGAACACTAGAAAAAAATTTAAGTGTTTTGAGTATTTTTAAAATGGTTTATAGTTTAAATTGAACATGCCAAATATAATTTATATTGAAATAAAGCATAAACAGAACAAAATAAAACAAAAAAGAAATTGAATGCAAAAAAAGAAAATTAGTCACTTTTGTTTTTTGTTCTTGATGTGTGTTAGAGAATTCGCAGCAGTAGAATAATTAATTATCATCTTAAAGTTACACGAGAATCAAACTCATACTTAGGTAATAAAAATGACTTGTCGAAAGATAATAAGCATTTACGTGGAAAATCTGAAAATGAAAAAAATTAAGCAGCCCAGTTTGGTTGAAATGATCCACTATGAGTTGGTGATTACGCTTACAAAATCTTATCTTATATACGAGAAAGAGTCGCATAGTTTCTTGAGTAACAACGGTTGTGCATAGAAGAGAATGTAGCCCAACAACATGCAACAATTGTAGTAGAAAGTAGATGTTGGGAGCTTAGGTACACCATATTTGAGGTTGGCATGACATTTGGGATGATGAATTTCTCCGTATGATGCTTCGAGACTCCGCGATGACGGTTGTTACTCTGCACTCTACAACACAAGTCTTGATTCCGTACAGGCCTTCGTTGCAACGAGTAGAGGGTGGCCGGCAGTGGTCTATGGTGGCTGGCAGGTGTTGGTTGATAGTGTTTGGCGACTGCAAAAGCGAGAGGTATTTGTCGATTTTTAGGTGCATAAGCGATATTATACCTCATCTCCTTCTCCAAGCTTTGGTTTTCTTCTAGCTCAAGGTTTATATCCCCTCTCACGAGGGGGGTAAGGCTTTATTTTTATAGTATGGGAGAGTCTCTCTGCAAATAAGGAATTAATTCAAATCACTCAACCAAACACATCAGAGAGATTTCTTTGATCAAACCACATTTGGTAGACATTTAAAGTCTTAAAAATATTATAATTGAGTGGTATTAGACTCATAGTATTTGTCATGTAGAGATGCTCGATTTTAATACAAGCTTATCAGATTTGGAGCATGCTTGACATTTTAATTGTGAACTGAGAACTTTCAAAAGTGACTCATTGACTTGATCTGAGTTTGATTCAACTTGGGTTGCGACTATTGTCGATATTATTGTGTCTGTCTCATCAAGTCCTCACTCTTTTGAAATTTGAAAGTTACATCAAAACTTTCATAACACTAAATTAACATGATGACTATATATCACTTCAATAAAAAAAAAATGCTATCATTTAATATTTTTAATATTATAATGATAAAGTTGAATCAATTAACTTTTATTTTTTAATTTAAATATTAGTTTAAATTAAGTTAAACAACTAAAAAAAAAGATTGGAACAACGAAAGTGATAAGGGCTTTGTTTGAAACAACTTTATCATTCAATGAAGTTTTTTTAAAAAGCGTGTTGGAGGAACGGATAAATTCCTCCGTGGTCCAAAACAGCGAAAAGTTGCCGTTCTTGCGAACAACTTCAGAAGACCCTGCTTCACCAAACATAATCTTTTGCATTGCAACGGAGGTTCAACATCTTCTTAAACAAAAAGAAAATCATATCAATCTAAGAAAAAGGGTGCGAGCACGACAAAAAAGAACACAATTATCAAAAGAAAATCAACCAAGGAAGTGAGAGAGATCAGAGTTGAGAAATCACCAATTTCATCTTGGCATGCAACCAAAACTCTCCTGTTCTATCAATCACAATGAGTCCGGCCAAGTGTTCGTCGTGAAGTTTCTGCATGGTCATGACCTATTTCATCTTGTTATTGTTGATATTTTGTGTGGTTTTGGAGGCTTAATTGTAATGGAGGGAATAAGATGTTGAAGAAGGAAAGGCTTAAACTTGATTCTTTTATTGCTAATATTATTGAAAAACACAGGCAGAATCCTAAAGGGAAGAATGGTGTAGATAGGGATATGATTAATGAAATTATTATTTTTTTCTTAAGGGTTTTAGTGAGAATGAAGACTAACAATGACATGTATAATGATCTAAAAAATCTTAAACTTGGTAGAGAGAACATTAAAGTTATCATCATAATACGTGTGTGTGTGTGTGTGTGTGTGTGTGTGTGTGTGTG